CGGAGGCAGTAGCCTCAGTCTGAGAGCAACAAAGCAATCAACAAGACAACCATATGTCACATGAGAAGTGTGTCGCACACCAAAGGGTGGGATGGTCTCTGAGGGTGGCGAATGCACCCTAGGGGTCGAAAACTCCTAAGGGCATCCACACATAGTGACAGGGGAAAACACATGTCATCAGGCTCAATGAGGGTAGGGAACTGGGAGCGAACAGAACCAATGACCCTAACAGATAGACCATCAGGGCGGGTAATGCTCTACTAAGGGGTGACCGCTATGGAGGGTCGACTATGCAAGGGAACAAGGGAGCCTAGTATACTGGGCGCACCTAGATGAAGCATGCGGGGCTGCCTAACTAGGGCGTGAGGGCCGGCGAAGGGTAGAAAGATGATGGGTAAGGGAATCATGCAAATGACTCCTAACGTGAGGGAAGTCGGAGCTAGATCCGTAAGATGGGAAGCCAGGGCAACGCTACGGTCCCGATGCCTATGTGTATACCAAGGGAGAGCCCAACTCAGAGGAACCGGCTAAAGGGAGACCATCATGCGACACAAGCAGGGTACTGTACAGGGTAAAGTGGTAAGAGAGTGGCGACGTCTGAAGTAGGCAGAGCTGATCGTGATGAAGTCCATGAAGCTGCCGATGACGTCCACAATGAGAAGTCCGAAATGCCGTCGAGGAAGAGCCGCAGTGTCGACGAGCTGAAGTAGTAAAACTGATGTGGATGGAGTACTGAGAAGTCAAAGACGTGGGAAGGTAAGTCAGAGTCAATCGTCGTATCAAGCAGGACGACGACGAGTGCGTTGTGGACGCTCAGAAGCATCCGGCTGCTGCTGAAGGTCTGCCTCAGATGGAGCAGGCTCAACTTCAGCGGTCTCCTCAGCCGGAGGAGAAGGAGGAGGGTCAGTGGGCTGACGAGGAGCAGTGAACCCAGCACGACGAGCACGGTCATACGCACGCACCAACATGCGAGCGTGCTCCAAGTGCTCGAGGGGCTCCCAGGTAGCCTCCTCATCAGGGTAACCCTTCCAACGTACGAGATACTCGACGTGGGGAGGGTTGTCGTCGGTGACTCGGCAATCAATGATGTCTGAAACGAGGAACTCTTCGTGGCCGTCCACCATGATGGGTGGAGGGCGCTCGTATGGTCATTCAGCGAAACGCTCAGACGGTCTGCGGTAAGGACGCAGTAACGAGACGTGGTAGACATCATGCACACGAGCCTGGCGTAGGTAGTCGGGCAGCTTCACACGAAAGCTGACCGGGCTAGATGCCGTATCAGAACCGACGGCCTGGAGGATGCGGCATGGGCCAAAGAAGCGATGCCGAAACTTGCGAAGCGTGTCCACTTCGAGCTGTAAGTGGCGGGCGTCGATAAGCACATCATCACCGACTTTGAATGGATGGTTCATCCTCGATCGGTTCGCACGTGCAGCCATGCGAGTCTGGGAAGCGGCTATGTGCTCATGTGCGGTCTTCATGATCGACGTCATGTGTACAACCCAATCATCCAGCGAGGGACAACTCGTGTCGGGGTGCATCTGGGACGGTCGAAGGAAGTCCGCGGGAACACGCGGGTGATAGCCGAGGTCGCAATAGTAAGGCGACATCCCCGTGGTTGGCGAGACGGCATGGTTGTAGGCTAGCTCCGCGTGGGCAAGATGGAGATCCCACTGCTGGTCGTCACGAACAATCTTTCGGAGAATATCCCCGAGAGTCCTGTTCGTGATCTCGATCTGATCATCAGTCTGAGGATGGTAAGACGAGGAGAAGCGGAGCTGAGTGTCGCACACCTCGTGGAGCCGTCTCCAGAATCGGTTGGTAAAGCGCAGGTCACGGTCAGATATGATGCTCAGAGGTAAGCCGTGGTCACGCACGACTCGGTCAAATACGATGTCGGCGACCTCACGTGCACTGATGGCATAGCCGCACGGAACAAAGCGTGCACGCTTCGTGAAGCGGTCGACGACGACCAGGATAGCATCATGACCGCGGGGGATCGGAGGATGAAGAGGACCGATAAAGTCCATCGAGATGGACTGCCAACGACCCTCAGGGATAGGAAGGGGCTAGAGCAAACCATAAGGTAGGTGGTTCGCACTATTCACCTCCTGACAGGTGGGACACTCTGCGACGTAGTCCTTCACAAAGTCCTTGTGCTTCGGCCACACGTACAGGCGGCTCACACGAGCTAACGTCTTATGGAAGCCCATATGACCGGCAGCTACCTGGTCATGGAACTCTGCTACTACTCGGACACGTAGCTGTCCAGTGGAGGGAACACAAATACGGGACTATCTGGTGCCCTGTGAACCGTGCCAGTACACAAGACCGTTGTCCCCGAGAGAGTAGTTCGGGACGGTCTTGCCACTCCGAAGGGTTGCGTGGATGTCGCGATAGTCGGGGCAGTGGCGGTACTGAGTGCGAAACTCGTCGATCACCTAGTGGTGGACGGTGCTAACAAAGATGGAAGAGAGCTGGATGTGCTCCTGGTCGTGGTCAGGGCGCCGGGATAGGGCATCTGCGACTCGATTAGTCTCACCCTTGATGTGCTCAGTGGTGAAACTAAACTCGGATAGGTCGCGCCACCAGCGAGCCTGTCGAGGAGTGAGCTTCGGCTTTGTCAGAAAAGCCTGGACAACAGAGTTGTCCGTGCGCACCGTGAATGGTGCCCCATGCAGGTAGTGACGCCAGTGCCGAGCGGCATAAACTACTGCGAGAACCTCACATTCATCAGCAGTGTAGTTTATCTCGGCGGACAGGAGCTGACGGGAGTAGAAGGCTATCGGACAATCACCTGAGCGAGACTCGACAGTGCCGTCCTCG